GAAAGAAAGAAAGAAAGAAAGAAAGAAAGAAAGAAAGAAAGAAAGAAGGAAGGAAGGAAAGAAAGAAAAGAAAGAAGGAAGGAAGGAAGGAAGGATACTCAACTGCACTTAGATGATCACTTCACCCCATTTGTAGAACATTTCCATTCTGTTTTACCAGGATAAATACCCCTATTCAGCCTTGCTCTAATACTGAGTCATACTTACATCCACAGTCTATCGGTCCTCTACATTCTTCCATTCGAACAACACACTTTGATTCCCTTCCAGGGCATCCCCTTGTTAATACAACTTCTCTAATTCCAATGCCTTTGGTAGAGGGAAAATAAACACAGAAATCTCCAATAAATTTTTAGAAATCACTTTAGAGTTTCCTTCTTTTTTCTATCACCTCTTTCCCAAGTGTAACTCTATGGTCTTCTGATGTTTATATTTATTGACAAAGTTTATAACTCTTGCTTCAGGTTCCCTATGTTGGATTATTCTATAAATACTTTTTGCACATAGCAAATGATTTAATTTGCCTAGAGGAAAGCAAAATATTCCTGGTGATAGAATGCACTCCTTAAAAGTCATGTTTTGTCTGTCAAATATGTGCATTCTTTAACATTTTCCAAACTATTTAGTTTTCTTAAATCAATTCAGCTCTTTACAAAGGTAGTCCACAGGTTCATTCAGCTTAGCCTGAATGCAGCGTGCTAATGATGCACATTATAGTCACAGGTTGAAGAAAAATATAATGAAAACCTATCATTTCCCTATTTGGCTTTTTAGCATTAAGAGAAGTCTTAATCCTCAAAGTTAATAATGTGAAAGACAAGGAGAAGAAAAAGATTGAACGTGACATTTAGAGGACTCCATTTAGACCATGGAGGGATGAAAGAAGATCAATACTTTTGATGAGGAAAAGTAGTAAGGTATGACAGTAGCATGACTTCATTTGAATTAATGAAATTATTTCCTGGACAGTACCAACTCATGATAGAATTTATAAATATGCTTTAAGAAAACTTATTTTTGCCATATTGTATATAAACAGTTCACTGAGATTATGTGATTGATGATTTATAGATGATGGAGAATCAAATGAGAACTAATATTTTATGAGTTCAAATAGCACCAGCTGCCCTGCTTTTGGACTCTTTGGACTTCTCCATCATGCCCTTTTGCCCCAGGAAACTCTATTGGGAAATCTCATTATCCTGCAAGATTGAATTAGCCTTGTACTCACATCTCATCAATATTCTCTGCTCTTCTGATTGGACCCTCTAACTAAAGGACAGAACCATGAGCTCCAAAGCCTCCATTTAAAGGAAGCTAAACACTGGTTTCCCCACATTTCCCACAAGTTGGTTTGCCTTTGGACTTCTTTGGATTTCTCCATCATACCTCTGCACAGGGTTAACTTCTCCCCATTCACACCTCCTACCCTTATTTTTCAGCTTCTTTTTATATGTCGTCTTTCCCCATTAGAAAGAAAGCTCCTTGAGGACAGAGACCATTTCTTTTTAAAATTTGTACTTGTACCCCCAGTGGTTAGCACAATACCCAGCACAAAATAGGTGCTTAATAAATGTTTATTGTTTATTGATGAGTGATTGACAGAAAAAATGCTAGCTATTCCAAGCAAATGAGTATTCTTAATTGAAAGAACACTAATATTATTTAGTATTACTGAAATATTGCTGCAAGACCAAATAAGTGGAATTAATGTATAATTTCACTGTTATTTTCATGTGGTAGTCATTGTATTAGCTAATTTTGATGTCAGTTCCTGTCAGAATTCCAGAACAGATTATTAAGTGGATGGTTTGTGAGCCCTTAAAAAGGGAAATGATGATTACTATGAGAAAACGTGAATTCATGTGAACTCTCTGTCATTTCAAATATAGAAAACAATTGAAGCAGATAGGAATTGTTAGCTAAAGTCCAGGGAGAATATTAGAGATGAGTGAATAGGTGGGGACACAGTTTCAAGGAGAAATAGCCTTCCTAGACTTATGAAAAAAAAACCTGTAGAATACTCCTATCTTCTAATTAACATGGCAACAAATAACATTGGCCTAGTGGAACCTGGGGTAGATTATCTAGGTGTTTTTTTTTTTAAAGACATAGGCAAGAAATTGAAGAAGTTGGGGCACAGGTAGTAGTTTATCATTTTTGCTGACTGAAGGCAAGAAATTTAAAAGAGAAAGGAGAATATGGAAAATGAGTGGTTGGCCTAGGAAATTATGTCAGAGGAATGGATGGAGCACCAGGCCGGGGGTCAGGAAGACTCTTCTTCCTGAGTTCAAATCAGGCCTTAGACAATTAATAGCTGTATGACCCTGGGCAAGTTACTTAATCCTGCTTGCCTCAGTTTCCTCATCTTTAAAATGAGCTAGAGAAGGAACTGGCAAACCACTCTGGTATCTTTGCCAAGAAAACCCCAAATGGGGCAATGTAGAGGAGGACATGACTGAAAATGACTGAACAACAACATAAGATATGGAAATAATGGGAGCTTGATCAGGGATAGATTACATCTGCTAAAAGCAAGTTAGAATGGATTTTCTCTTTAGACTGGCTTACCTGATTAAGAGGCCTTTAGGTTGAAGAGGGTGAGAGAGGATGAGTGTCTAGATACATTTACTAAGCAATAGAATCAGTTATGGCATAAGAAAAATAACACTAGAGATGCTCAGAACTTCATAGGACACAAGGATAGTGAAGAGGGGCAGAAATAATATTTTTAGTCTCATATAGCTATATGCCAATGCCAAAATTGTGGGTAATAAACAAAATGTACTGGATGTTTTAACTCACAGTAAAAATGGCCTGATGATATCACTGAAACTTGGCTAGATAACATTCATGACTAAAATGTAGCAATGATAAAGTACACATTCAATACAACAAGAATTTATTAAGTGCCTTATTCAAAGCACTGTGTTAGGTGCTGAAGAGAAAAAAAATTAAATACCTGCCCTCAAAAATCTTACATTCTTGGGGGCTGGATGTTATATACCGTGTATAGTGCACAGATAAGTTAATGAAAAGCACAAACAATTTAATTTCAAAACAGAGCAATCTAGGGAAATCGCTTAACCTCCATCTGACTCAGATTTTTCACCTGTAAAGTGAGAATAATAATAGCACCTACCTCCCAGGATTATTATAAGGATAAAATGAGCTAATATTTATAAAGTTACTTTGCAAATCTTCAAGCACTATATAAATGCTAGTGTTTATTAGTAACACCTGAGGATATCAGAAAAAAGCCTCATAAAAGAAGTGGTATTGGAGTTGATTTCTAAAGGAAACCAGCAACTCCCAAAGGCAATGAGAAAAAGGAGGGAGAGCATTCCAGGAATGTGTAACAGCCTATGCAATGACACTGAGGCAGGAGATTGCTATGAACACAGAATGGCTAGTGGGCTACTCATTTTACTGGAATGGGTACTTGTGAAAAAATAATCATATAAAATAAAAATTAAAAAGTAGGTGGGGGCCAAGTGGTAGAGAATTTTAAAAACTAGGGAGAACATTTTGTATTTTATCCTAGAAGTAACAGAGACACTAGATTTTTAAGTATGTGAATGACATGATCACAGCTGTATTTCAGGAATATCAATTTGGCAGCTTGTGTGAAGGATGCCTTAGAGAGGGAAAGATGCCAGAAGTAGGGGAACCAATTAAGAAACTATTGCAATCATGTAGGCCAGAGGTGATAATAGTTACCCAAACCTTGTCTCTGTCCCAATTTTCTCATCAGTAAATAGGGATGATAATAGCACCCACTTTGTTATTGTTAGGAGTAAATACTATATGGAAATTGTTTTTGCAAACCTTAAAAGTGCTGCCAAGAGTAGAGTGAATGGGGAGAGAGAAATTGATGCATGAGATAATGTGAAAGTAGATTCAGCAATACTTGACAACTGATTGAACATGAGGGAAGAATGAATAACAAAGTCAATGATGGTTCAGAGATTGGGAACCTGGACTCCTGGAAGGATGTTGGTGTTCTCAGCAGAAACAGGGAAGTTTGGAGGAGGGATGGTATTGACGGGCAAGATAAGAATTGTTTGGGATATGTTGAAATTTAGATGTCAATGGGACATCTAAAAAAGACAATGATAATTCAGCTCCAGAGCTCAGGAACATTATTATGGCTGAATATACAGATTTGGGAATCATCTGAATAGGGATCACAATTCAGCCCATGGGAGCTGATAAGATCACTAATATAGAGGATGTAGAGAGAGAAGAGGGTCTAGGACAGATCCTTAGTGTATTCTTGTATTTAGTAGGCAGGAGATGATGATCTAGCAAAAGAGTCTAAAGGCATAATATCAGTCTAGTAAGGGGAAAACCAACAGAGAGAAGGGTCAAGGAATCTAAGAAAAGAGAAAGTATCCAGGAGGATAAGGTGGCTGAAGGTGTCAAAAGCTAAAAAAAAATTAAGAAAAAAGTAGTATAAGATCTGAGAAAAGGCTGTTGGATTTAGCAGTTAAGAGGTTGTTGGTAACCTTGGAGAGAATAGTTTCTGTCAAGTAATGGGGTTGGAAATTAGCTTTTTCTATTGAAAAGTAAATGGGAGGTTAGGAAATAGGGGCAATGAGCATACAGTAGAATGACCTTTTCTAGGAATTTGACTGTGAAAGGAAGGGAAGGTAGAGGATAACATCTTAAAGGAATGACAGGATCAATTTAAGTTTTTTAAGGACAGAGATGATGATGATATGTTTGCATGATGGGGGGGTAGAGAGATTAAATGAGAAAGGGAGGGAGAGAGAAAGAGAGAGAGAGAGAGAGAGAGAGCTCATAATCAATGGGACAAGTCCCGGAGACAGGAAAGAATAGGATCAAATAGACAAATAAACAAAGTCTTGTCAAAGATTCAGATCCCTGAATCAGGATCCCCAAAGATTTTGATAGGCTTAAACAAAAGTCCAAATCTAACAAAAGAAAATGTTGTTAAATGTGAAGGCTCAAAAAATCAACTTCAAAGTACAGAGGTGGAGAAGGGGAGGATATATGACTAGAAAGAAATTCAATAGAACTGAGGATTATCATGCACTCCAATCTGCAATTTATCTATAGTTACGGAGAGTTGCCTGGGAGAATAAAAGGTCACATAGCTAGTATGTTGTCAGAGGCAGGACTTGAAGACAAGACATCTTGATTCCAAGATGTTGACCTTTTTATCCATTACCTCTCTTAGGTGACCTTCCACTGCATAAGTGGACATATAAAGTCTAGGAGGAGAAAGTCATAATTCCACTGTGAACTCTTTTCATGCAACAATAGGAGAACTATTTCTGATTCTG